TTAGATTTGACCAACTGTCATATGCACACAAATCGCATCCTGAATTTTGCTGAAAGTAGTAGAAAGTTACCCAAGATCATAAATGCAGTGTATATCTAAGCAGGAAGACATGCACGCACCAGTTCCCACAATCAACAATACGTTGTTGCTATATACACAGAGCAGATAAACACCCATCTCCATGGAACTTCACAGGGCATTGTTTCACTTCAAAGTGCACCAATTACCTGGTTTTGATTGAAAATGCCGTCCCAGCATTTTTCTGGTAAAAGCATTGGCTAATCAAAAACTAAACATGAGAGATAAGAGCTGGAGGAAACATAAATATAAAAGCTGGTTTCCAAGCATACCACCTTGGCCAAAATGTAAAGCATTCCTTTTTAAGTGACAGCAAAACAAATCAAAAATAGCAAAGTCAGCATTTAAATATTTAGCCACGTTCTAGAGCTCCACAGTCCACCCACTCTTCTATTTTATGTCTGACGGCAGAGCCATCCTCAGACCCCGCTCCCTTCCCCATGCCATGTACACGCTGCCCACCCATAACCTCCCAGCCGAATCCTGCCCACGTCACCACGCACAGCCTGACCTCCCCAGCAGGGTTTCACCCCCCAGCTTGCTACAGAAAGCCCTGCTTTTCCAGGAAACCGGTAGCCAGACAGGCAGTGCCCGTCCATTAAAAAAGAAATTTAAAAAAATAGAAAAAATACTGCTTAGCATACAGGTTTTCAGTTGGTCAGGGAAGGTAAAATTAGTGGAAGCCTCCCACCAGAAATACTGAGTTGCCAATAAATTGTCTTGCAGCTGCAACAGAAGGTCTGTTACAGGGGCAGCCACCGCTGGGACGTCTCCAGCAACGTCCATGGCTTCCACCAAGGAACAGGTTATTTTTTTCCAGATGAGGGAGGAGCTGAGGGCCCTTAGAGCAGCCAAAAGTACAATTACACCTAGAAAAATCACATGCAAGTCAGATTTTTCCAGTACACACTTCTTGCAGGGAAAAAGTGCCTACTTGTACTAGCACTGCATCCTTATATTCAAATCAGTACGATAGCTTTATTTTGCTAGGTCTTAGCCTGGTTGCAATCACTAAAGAGAAAGCTCAGGTTGTGTTATTCTAGTATAGCTGACTCAAATTATGCACCAGCAAAATACAACCATGATTTTTTTTGCTGGTCTTCCTCGTTTCAAGGCAGGAAACTGAAGCTACTACCTCATACTGAGGCACGATGGTAGTAATCAGCTGACTTGTAGCCTCTAAACTCTTGGTGGCTTCCAGTCTGAAGTGGGTAATAATCTCAAATTTTTTGGACTTGTCAGAGATGGTTACCTGGAGAATGGAATAGTAAATAAGAATAAATAAATTTAACTATATTACACTTTCTCTATGTCTAGCCTGTGTTTTCTTTTATTTTTTAATATATAATTTATAATGTTTTTTCCTCCTTTATGTTTCATTTGTTATTTGTTCTGAGAACAGAGAGGGAACTGTCTTCAACTCCATTTTCTTCTTTTTTTTTTTTTTTTGTTATTTTTACGTATACCCAAAGGTTCTTAACAGGATACACCAAAAAGTGAGAGAGCACGTGAGTGATATGAAGTAGTCACAAACAGTTTTTCTAACAGTGGCAGATTGCTATGGACACCTATATCCTGCCTTCCTTTAATCTATGCTATTAAAATTAAATGATCTGGAAAAGGGGGAAAAAAAAATCGCTGCTGCCAACATAATTATTATTCAAAGCAGTTTAAAAGAAAGGAGACTGAAGAGAGACTTCACAATAATGAATGCATAGTAATCTACAGGTGAAATTCACTACTGGTACATGAAAAGTAATGTAAAAAAATGAAAGTAGCCTTAACTATACACAGCACAAGAAATAGCTGTTCAGTTGGTGTACAAACCTCTTGGCTAGGAAGCAGAACACTCCTCTGAAAATACCAACTCCATGCTCAGAAGCCATGAAAATCAAGAGAGATTTAGCACTCAGGGAAGGCATGGGAAACAAATCAAAACACAACTGTAGCACAGTACTCCATATTTACAACTTGAGTAGAGTTTGGTCACCCCATCTCTGAAGAGACAAACAGAAAGGGTAATGAAGGTTATCAGAACTGTAAAACAGCTAAGTACAGTCACTGAGGGGGAAAGACTGCAAGGGACAGACATGAGAGCTCTAGAGAACTGTGAGAAAGGCAGGAAGGTAAAAACAAAATACAGATCATTAAACAATGATATCAAGAAGCAGCCTTAAAAAACAAGCAGCATTTTCTCACAATGAGTAAGTAAATGGGAGGGCAAAAGCATTACAAAAGCATTAATAGATTTGTTATTTTAAAATAACTCATTGCAAACTTCATAGACAAAATCCAATCACTGCAAATGATGGGTAGAGCTGCAGTTTCTCACGTAGAATCCTTGCACAGATTCTGGCAAGTAGCAAGGAGATCTTGCTGGGAAGAGAAAAATTTTGCTGCAGTGCTGTTACACATCTCTTGGTCTAAGCACTCATTACTATCACTTCTGAAGACAATACTGAGCTCAGTAGATCTCTGCTTTGCCATGTGGCAATTCCAATGTCGCATGTATTAAAACTATCCAGTTTGTGCCAGATGAAGTTGAACACTAATACACTAGCTATGTAGCAGCACGGATACCAGATCATTAGTCTGGAAGCACAGAGACAGAAAATGGAGCATTCAAGAGTTGTGTGCTTCTAGGAAGAAGGGATGTTCATTATCCAAGCGCTGCAGCCCCAGAGCTTTCCCACATCCCGTATCAACAAGAATAGAATTACAAGAAGGAAAATCATCATCTTCACATGTCAGTACAGATGCCATACAAAATTCCAATTCATCATCAAAGCCGAATGAATTCTAAGGTCCAGCAAGACAAAAGTCTCCCTGAAACAAAGCCAAAGCTGGAGTCCTTCTTAGCGCAATAGCATTCGTCCAGGATGACTGTCAGAGATACCTGGTTCAGTGTGATGCACACGTTCAACTTTTCTGGTTTGTAATATGTAGAGTCACTTTTGCACAGCACAAGGAAGAGCAGCAGAAGCCATACAGTGGTTGAATTAGCTTATGTATGAGCTAAACCAGGGGGCAAACACTTGTCTTGTGCTGGTTCTGCTGTGCCACTCCCTTAGGTAAGCGAAGGCAACAGCTCCCCCCTTCACACATACCCCTTAGAGAAGACCCTTAGAGAAGATGGTAACAGACTGATGTGGGCAAAGAATTCAGAATTACTAGCAGATCATCTCTCTTAACCATTCTTCTATTCACTTGGAGTCTTTCTTTCTTCAGCCAGCACTGAAGGTCTAAAATCACTGAGATACTAACTTCTGCATTGAAATGCAGAAGATTGCAGTTTTTCCTGGATGATTGCCATTCATTTTAAGTTGTTTGGAAAGTGACATATCCACTTAGAGCACAGTTTACACACAGGACAAAAAATAAGCCGTAACTGTTCAACAAAAGCTTAAGCATAGACATCAAATAAACACCCATTTCATAATGTCTATCTGGATGAATTGGCTTGAATTTGAAGATCGAGTTTCATAATAAAGCTTGAGAATTTTTCTAATTAGTTAATCTAGAAACACTTCCTGTTTTGGACATCCTTTCATGTCTCAACTTCTCACTGACAGATTAAAGAAAGCAAGCAAAATAAAAATGCTGTTATTTGAACAAGAGCGCCACGTAGTGTTACAAAGCCTGAGGGAAAACAAAAGGCAAGCAATCATTCTCCAGCCTTCCCAAACCTGGGCAAAGGGAAAATATGCACATTATGACGCTGAATGTGAAGTCTCCTCATCTTGTGATTTTTGACAAAACAGAACAGTGTAGCACTCGGTGTAAGGAACAGAAATAAAGCACGCTTTTTCTTAGTTGGCTCCACAGCCTGCATGTCAGCTAGCAAAAAATCCCAAAACATTTCAAGTAAGGCAAAGTAGCAGTGAATTCCATCACATTTAAGCTATTTGCATCAATTTTCCTTCAAAACATACAAGAAACATGATTTGTATTCAAATCAAGAGCAGATGACTGATATCTGGAGGCTGCATCTAACAACTTAATCAAAACAGTAAATTACTTGGAAGACTGATCACAAGTTTGTACTTGACTGGGAGTGTTTGCCTGTCTAGAAGAATCCAAAAAGAAATATGCTAATGTTGATTCGTCATCACAAGTTTAATCCAAGAGTAAAAGAACATTGAAACCTTCTTGATCTCTTCTTGTGAAGTTTTCTTTACTTCAGTGGGATTCCTTTATGAAGTGAAGCAATAGGAATTTTCTTCTACACAATATTTTATCATTTGAGGAAAAAACAAATTATATATACACAACAGCGACCATTGTCTTTAGAACCAACTTGTCACCTATTTTCCTGCTGATACCAAACACTTCCATAGACTTTCTTTTTATTTTTTTTTCTTCCAAAGGATTATACCAGAAATTTTTGAAGTTGCTAGAATACAATGACACATTGCTTCCTCTTACTAGTGATGCGGGAAGAGGGCAGAGGTGGTGGTGTCAACAAACATTGCACAAAATTAACAAGTCTTTCCATCAAATAAGTCACAATATTGCAGGTAAGGCCTTACATGAATTCTGCAACATTGCTAGCACTGGGAAGGAACAAGTTAGCCAAAGAGCAACTGACAATTTTGCCAACTTTAAAGCTGTATTAGATGTTGAACAAGGATCTTTCTTCTTCTTGAGGAAACAAAACTCTGCACTACGGAAGGAACTGGGAAGGAACAAGTTAGCCAAAGAGCAACTGACAATTTTGCCAACTTTAAAGCTGTATTAGATGTTGAACAAGGATCTTTCTTCTTCTTGAGGAAACAAAACTCTGCACTACAGAGAAAAACTATTTTAACATTCAATTTTGTAAGAGGTTCTCCAGGAAGCATTTAGATAGCTTTAATTTAAAAAACAACATCTACAAAGAAAACAGACAATCCATTTCTTTTCTTTCCAAGGAAAGACTATTCTTTTCTAGTTTCTATTTGAAGTGTTTTCACCTTACTAAAAGGGACAAAAGCTTTTATTTAGATATTTACATTTATGTTTTAAAAAACCTGTGTTCATTGTCACATGAAAATGAAACACCACACAGTACAGTTATTCTATTACAGAAAGAATTCTGCATTGATTTTTTAAATTAAAAAGGCATCAATTGTGCCTAGGTTGAGAGATTTTCTTCTATAAAGTCACAGTATATGAAAGAGTCCCCCAAAACTTTCAACACTAGATGGGTCTGTGATTCCCAGGCTTTTGAGACCAGAGTTCTCTAAAAAACCCACAACCCCACACAATTAGCCATACACTTCTTGCGCTTCAGCCTGGATTTTACCATATTTCTTCATAGTCCCCCTTTCCCAATCTGCACGTGACTTTTCCTGCTTCCAGGAGGAAGGGAGTTGAATCACTTTACACTCACTTGCATTCTGCTGCTGTCACTGACAAAGGGATTACTCCCAGCTCTATAAATGTTCTTATCACTACATCAGATATTTGAGCATCCAAGAAGAAGGTCACTGACTACAAACTTGTAGTTCTCTGAATATGACTTGTCCCTGCAACAAGCTAAATTGTAGATTTGGGGAGCTGAAGAAAGAGACAGAAACAGGCAGTTTCAGTAAATGGAGAGAACCACTACTGGAGCCACACATATGAGTGTGTTAGGGCTGGCCATCAGCAAGTAGAAAGACGTTGCTCTAGCCATCTGTACCCAGCCAGGCCTCACTATTTACTATTCTATCTAATACTCCAACACCTTTATTCCCGGCTAGCTTTAGTAGCCTTAGGCTGAAGACACATTCTGAAGCATTAACAACTAAAAAAATCAATACTTCTCAGTATAAAAAAATAAAGAATTGTGGAAGCAAACTGTTCAGAGTTGCAAAAAAAAAAAAAAAATGTAAAGCACTGTGCTGCACAACATATTAAGGGTTCATTTCCAAGATGCTTTTCTGTATTCAGGCAAGTCATGAACCAAAAAAAGTTAAACCATGTAGTCTCTTTCCATTCCTTGTACCTAGTTCATATATTTAGAGAAATCTTTTGTTGACTAAAAAAAATTCACTCCCATATTCTTATAAAGACAGTTCTGTCTACTAGATATGCCAGCTCAAAGGACTCTCACTTAACAGAAGTTGCTTTTCCTGAAGTCAAATCAACTCCTGATCTACATTTTTCTCAATAGTACAAATAAAACTGCAACATTCCTGATTAAATATTTTCACTTCCATTTAAGCATCAAGTGACATAAATCCATCTTACCCACAACAACAACAAAAGTAATTCAGAAACCACAAGCAACCAAAGACAGCAAAAGACAGAAATCCATACATACAGATAGGTTCTTCCTACTTGAATTTTGGACAAGTACAACTAGTTTTAAGGCACTTATATTGCAAATATGTTTTCCCTTCATGGTTTAGAAGCACTGAGCGGGATGGGACAGAACAGTATTTTGAGCGAGGCAAATGGTGGCTTTGCTGAAGCACTGAGGTTCCCAAACCCACGTGCCTGTGTAAGTGAACTGCTCTTAGAGCAGAGAGTATTTTTTGCATTTAACTGCAAAGATAGACAGTGTTTAGCTCATGCATCAGCCTGCATTTGTGACAGTTTTTCACTAAGTTGTGGTTTGTTTTTTTAATGCACAGAACTGTCACAAGCAGGAAGTTGTCACATCACGTGCCATTAGAACACAATAGAGTGAACAGACATGATAAAATTCCAGATCAGTCTTTCCAGTTTTCCCAATAATATTCACAAAAGGTTTAGGGAACTGACTATCAAAACAGCATTTTCAGCACATCTCAGTCTTCTTAACCTATAAGCTTCAATCAAGTTAATTACTACACTTAAAAAAAATAGACTTAATTCCTTACTCAGGCAAAGACTTCCATTAAAAGTCCCATCAGAAGACAGCTTTTGCAGGACTGCAGCATCCTTCTACAGATTTGAATTCAAGTTATCTCTAACACAGAGCATGATGCACATGTGCTATTATTCTTCAGTTACATTTTCAGGGAGATGTTGAGGGAAAGTCTGTAATAGCATTCCTTGCTGGTTTTTCAACTGCACAGTTTTTCCATCACAAAATTCTCAATGGCTTATTTCATATTTGGTTGATTGCTGTCAGGAAGGCAATGAGGAATACTGCATTTCCACAGAAATAAACAGTTAGCACAATCTGTTTAAACAGACGACCCTGCAAGAGAAGGAGAAGAAAAGCCATAGAAGTGTCAGTCTTTTTATTGGTTTAAGTAATCATCCCATCTCAAAGTAGTTTACAAAATTGTGACTTACCTCTGCTTCTGCAGAAGTGAGTGACTGCAGGATCTGTACTCTGTCATCCTCTATCACTTCAACTGTTAGGGGGAAGGGGGGGGGGGGAGAAAAAGTTAAGTCTGCTCTTAAGAGAAAGGGGTTTCTTTTTCCATTTTTATACTGCAGAAGTCTTGAACTTATGACTAAGTAACTAAGTCTTACACAGCATCAAGTTTGAAAAGGACCTGGAAGTCTCGTTTCACATTTTATGACCTGTACTACATGAATGAAAAGTTATTCTGGAGCTGACCTACAAGAAGTAACTTCTGGACACTGAAGTCGCAAAACATTTTGTCTCTTTTGATAGAATGATTCATTGAAACACCAAGTTTTGAGCTGAACAAAACATTTGTTTGATGTAAAATCTTTTCTTTTTCACCTTAAGATAACTAGATTTTATTAAGAAGTATTTTCCATTAGCCATCACAAGAACATTCATTGTTCAAACATTTCAGGTTCATTTCTCTATTTCTAGGAAGTAATTACCGCAGTTAAATTTAAATTCACATCTTTTATAATCAGTCCTTCTCCATGAGCCACCTTAGACAGCCTCTTAACTAATCATGCTTCTTCAATTCTGCAGATGTCTCATCTCTGCCTTAGATACAAGCCCTTTACACGTGCGTAGTCACATCCTCTCAGTGACACCAGCCAGCAAAGGCAAGGATTTCCAAAGAAGTTACTACCAGTCTCCTCACTAGACATACTGGGAGTCAGGATTTCACTTTTGTTCCCCTGTTCATTCAAAACTGCAAGCATTTGTGCTCAAGTTTCTGATTATTTTGCTCATGCAGTAACAGACATTCATACAGGACTTTGTCACAATAAAACGCAGACTAAATCTGCATGAATTAACCTGAACTTCACCCACCCATCTGGGATCATAGAATTGTCTAGGCTGGAAGTGTCCTTTAAGATCATCAACCATCAACCTAACTCCGATAAAAAACCATCACAAAATCATGTCACCAAGCTCTATATCAACCCATCTTTTAAATACCTCCAGGGATGGTGCCTCAATCCCTTCCCTGGGCAGCCCACTCCAATGCTTAATAACCCTTTCAGTTTAAAAATTTTTCCTAATATCCAATCTGAACCGCCCCTGTGGGCACTTGAGGCCATTTCCTCTTGTCCATCACCTGTGACTTGGGAGAAGAAACCGACCTCCACATCTCTCCAACCTCCTTTCAGGTAGTTGTAGAGAGCAATAAGGTCTCCCCTCAGCCTCCTTTTCTCCAGACTGAAAAATCTCAGCCTCCCCTCGTAAGAGTTATTCTCCAGACCCCTCACCAGCTTCATTGCTCTTCTCTGGACCCGCTCCAACACCACAATGTCTTTTTTGTGGTAAGGGGCCCAAAACTGGACAGTGATAGATTCTTGGAAAATACTTATAAAGTTCACTCTGCCCCTATGAACTGTGGTTTGAGAAATGGCACAAAACCATTTTTTTCTAGAACCCTTTAGTCTTAAAAACTGGTTTACTCCCATATTAGTTTTTACAAAGGATATGACACAACTACTCAAAAGTTACTCCCTGTCAGCTTCCAAGTTTGAATTTCAGGAGGTGTTCTTTGGCCTCTATCTACTCTGTTACAAAATTATATTTTTTTTTGCGCAATCCTCAGGAAGCAAGGTAGCTACAGGAATTTGGTTATTACCTTTACGTACGAGACAGTAGCTGTGTACTTCCAGAAGAACATCAGTACCGACATGCCAAGCTACAAAACCAATCATTGTATAGGTGTCCCACGGGTCTGGTAGGTCAAGTGCTGGTAGATCCATTCCCAAGAACATAGTCACCACTAGTCAGTAAAAACAAGATAAGACACTAAGAGTGCTGTGTCAGGGTAATTAAAATAAATAAATAAATGAATGAATGCTCTCAACACCTTTGGCAACAGATTTCCCATGGACTGCCTATAACTGCTTAGGGAATGAGGTTAAAGATGTCCATTCATCTAAAAGCTTTCATTGCAGTGTGAGGGGGGAGGCAGGGAGGAAAGAAGGCAGCCAAGATAGTTTTCGTCCTCCTCAGTGCCCTATCACATCCCAGTCACCCAAACACTAGCGTTTGTGACTCTACTAACAAGACCACAGTCACCACGACATTTGTGCTTAAGCTGCCTATGAAAACTTGTCACCACTAATAGAATTAAGCCCAGCTTCTGGTTCTGCGAGTGAGTTTCCCCTCCTCCAATAAATAACATTGAACTACGTAAGGACACTATCCTCAAATCTTCCTAGACAAAAAGAAATTACTCAAGAACAGACCTTGCTATAACCTCTGTTGCTTTACATGGTCACTTTTTCTCCCTAAAGCTACACCTGATGGCCACCTAAGACTTACCAGAAGGTAGCCAGCAAGAAAAAGAACCTTTGGAGATGCCTGGACTGGATGTCCGTAGCTGTCCAAGACGAGCAATAGCCCAGAAAATGAACACAGTTAATTTAAATCACTTAAAAGGGTGTTACAACCATTACTCCTACTCACCAGCTAGTATTCTAGCTGTTGTACCAGTACTCCAGTGAAACCAGTTAAACAATTGCCTCCTACAAAAACAATGAAAAGCGTTTTATTGATTACATAGCTTAGGGAGAAAATAAATTTTTTAAAAAAATATTGTTACCTACTTTAAAGAAATTTTTTCAGTGGAAAAGTTTAAAGAAACAGACATATTTAATTTGTGGCTGTAACTTAATGAGTTAGTTGCAAGTACCTTGGTGCATGACGAGATGGTCTGAAACCTGCCATAAGCGGTTGAAAGATTGTAAGAGCCATCACGGTACAGCCAAGATAGGGATGAAAACCTGCTTGCTAAACACAGGACATTTTTGTTTAATATCATATCTATATAAAAGATACAGAAAAAAACACCAAAAAGTTGATAGTTTTCTTTATGCTTGTATTAGTAAGTTACAATGGTGGAGCAGCACTGCATTTTGACTGGCAGGGCAACAGGCCACAGTAAGCTGCCCTGCAGCTGGATGGAGATTGTTCTCCTTGGCAGCATGAAACACTGGTAAGTCTGCCCAGGGTTTCCCCCACCTTTTTGCTTTTGAGAAATTCTACAAGCTGAAGAGCAGAAGGCAATATGACTGTAGAAGTATGAAGGTTCATCCTGAACCCTCAGGCCTCTGCTGAAGACAGTTTCATAACTCCTCCCAGCACTGGTACTCTGCCTTCACTCTGCCCCTATCTATTCTAATCTTAACCCTAAAACATGATATTCAGTTTTCTTAACTCATACCTGTGACCACATTCTTCTCCTGCCTTTAATTCAGATATTTCCTAGACTTTCCAACTTCTGATATCACCTTGCACCAGATACCATACAGGTGACAGCAACAGGTATACCATCTCTATCTAATGTTCCAGACTAAGTTTAGTCACTGGATACAGTTACTCGAGTTCAAAATTATAACAACACTTATTTCCCAGCAGGTTTATCACGTTAATATGTCAGCTGTCCCATCCTTCCTTTCTTACCAAACTCAAGTTCTCTAAAGAAATGGGAAGAAGACTGATTTAGTACATAAATAAAACTGTGAGCAAAGACTTTATTTGGGAGAAAGAGGAAGAAAGGAAAGTACTGAAGTTTTTCAATTGTAGTTAAAGGAGGCAACATTCCTCTTCTGTGTTGCTAGGATTTGAAGTCAGCCTATTTAAGGGCGGTTTTCACAGCATTTTCCTCAGCAATAGCTGAAACATGTTAATCATCAGTGGACCTCCTTCTCATTCATTTGGACCAGCCTTGACATTTGAGTTAACGAACAAAAAAAAGCAGCACACACTTACTTGGCTCCAACCTCCTCGGTATATAAAAGGCAACACAAAAGAAATGCTTGTAAGCATGACTGTGGTCAACATAAGCATACGATGCACCTAGAAAAGGTAAGTTTGCTTTTAGAAATTCTACAGCTTTCTTAATACACCATTAAAAAAAACATTTAACGGATCAATAGTTAAAGATGTTCTTACTGTCCTCTTTAGACACTGCTTTTACTAGTAAAGTAAGTAAACTTCTGATTTGTAATTGTTCCATATTACAAGATTAAAGATAGATAAAAATCACACCAAGTTTAATCTTTTATTTCTTGGATCTAGTAGGTTTATAATTCTGCTTACAATAAAGCTAGAAAGTATGGCTAGACCTATGGGGAGATTTTGCCCACCTGAAACCACATCTCCTTTCCAAACAGGAATGAATGAGACCAGACAGGTTTGAAGAATCGTGCAACAATAACACCAATACTAACTGTGGTAATCCAAGCAACAAACATTAGCGCTCCTGAAAATTGAAAAAAACATACAAGGTAAACATAAGAAATTTAGCTGCATGTGAACACAGCTTCAAAGACCGTAATAGTTTAGTCCATACACATATTGTCAGCGATAAGTTTTCAATCACTTTGTTCAGACTACAAATTTACAGCAGTTATCTTGCTAGAGGGCAGGAACATCCATATAAAAGATAATCATACTATGTCCACACAGCATGACAGAGCAGCTCTGGCTACTATGCATTTCACATATGCCAGTACAGCCAGCATATATGGGTGAGAGATGCTGTTCTGCCACCAACTTAGATATCAGAGGATGAAAGGTGAAATTTCTCATAATTTGTTTGATAGAGAATGAGTTCTCTCAAGGGCCTGATATAAAAACCCGTATCATGAGAGAAAAAGTTCTCATTAACTTCAATGGCTCTGCACTGTCAGTTGAGGGGTTTCTCATTTCAAATAGAATTAAACCAATAATGTAACTGGAATAAATTAAAGAGATAGATAAAGATGTAAACAGAAACAAGTCCTGATTATAAATTTAAGAGAAAAGGCAAATGCATGTTCATTTTCCTGGGTGAAAAGATCTTTTAATACTGTTCTTGAAATGAAAAATTATACATAACTTTATTCTGTCTTCATAGTCTCAGATCTTGCTAGCCAACAGTGTATGTATCACATGAGCAGCAGAAAGATAAGAGGAAATACTTACTCTGCAATAATGAGAAAAACTCTCCTCTCCAGTCTCAGCCAGTCTAGAACTGGAAAACAAAAACAGAATTTGCAACTCACCATGAGCCTTGATAAGTCGTGGGGACCGGGAACCTCCTATATCCCGCGGAAGGCCTGTGACATTGTAAATTCCGTTGGTGATCAGAGGCTGACGACGATGTTTGTATATTCGTCCACCTAAGCATTGACATAAAGTGGTCAGTTTATGGCTGATGAAAGCCACTGCACTCATAAGCATGCCCACTCCCTATTTATGAATGCAAGCCCTGTTGTGGCCACTCAGCATAATCATACAAAGGTTCTGACACACAATACAGTAAGAATCTAAACTGTCATCTAAGCTGTCCTGCATACTTGATGTACAAGAACCAACTCACCCCTACACACACAAGACATGAAGAATAATTCCCTTTGCCTTTGATGCTAGTCTCCATTTCAAAAAGATGTAGTCAAGAAGCTAACAGTTCCCAGCATCAAGTGGGCATACAACACACATATATGAGTAAGTTTCCTATAAATTCCAAAAATCAAACCCATGATCCAGAAAGGCAGTAAGAATGACTGGACTAAGTGCATCAAACTTGGAAACTTTAGTTCAGATACTAATTCTCAGCTAAACCATATCTTACATAAGGATTACTAACTCATTTAGAGCTGTTCAAAGAAAACCAGCCATATGCAAGTTGTTTACCTTCACTAGCTTCCCCATCTGCCAGGAAGATGTAGTAACTGGCATCCAGATTAAATCTTCCTTTGTAAGCAGGAAGACGAATACTCCTTCTAAAAGAACACTGAAGAACACCATCCACAAGCCTCCATGACACATCTTCGAGGGCATTCTGTGAAACAGGAGACATTTAATACCCAGTCTTTCCAGACTGGCAGAGCAATTGGCTTAAAAGTAACCGTGCAAAATGCAAGTGTCACTGGTGCACAAAGAAAGAAAGAATGGCAACAATAGGAGGCCAAGGGGTGTGGGGAATAAAAATCTCTTGCATACCAACTGTCAGTAAGTCAACACAGCAACATAAGGGCTGGGCATATTATCATCAATTTTTCCAGCTCATAGCAACAATCTCCCCTTTCCTTCCAAACTTTAATGCAAGATATATCAATTGCAACTGCAGCCCTAGCAAAGGGACAGAGTAATAATGGGCACAAATTTCCTTAATAGCGTAAAGTCCCATCATGTGACTTATTTTTAAAAGTTACATTTAGACCTCTGAAGGTAACATTTACTAAAAAGTAAGAGCCCAGCCAATCTCACCTTAAAGAATTAGGGATCCATCTCCCTATTTACAGCTGCTGTGCAAAATAAAAGCACAAAGCAGCAGCATACCATCCATTACTTCATTTGTGGAAGTGTTTTAGTTGTTTTCAAATGTACCTCTGAATCCAAAACAGGAGGACTTCGCCCCTTCAGATAGGCAGTGCTTACGTGAACACGGTGGTCCTCATTAATACACAGATATGCATCATCACCACCCTGGAGAGTTTAAAAAAAAAAAAAGCCACAAAAACTATAACCCAATAAATATCACTACTGGCAGTCTCCAAAAGCTCTTTGATTTAATATATGCAATGAGACCCAAGAAATATTTCTCAGCTTTCAAACTCTTCACTATTACAGAGGAACTACATTAAGTCAAACAGATGAGACATAGTAAAGCACATTATGATTTATACTCTCCCCCTCCCAGGGTAACAACCATATTATCTGAAGTTTCTTCAATTATTTAGAATTTACTAAATTAACCGCAAGAGACAGAAATGGATGCTGATGTTATTTTAAAACCCTCTTTAGTTAAAAACCATAGTCTACAGCTATGGTTTTCCTTATAGCTAAAAAGAAAAAGTGTTGTTAAGAACCAAGGGTTCTTGAACTAGGGACATGAATATAAGCAGCATCTCCTTTATGCAACTGTTAGTTTACTTATACATTTGTCAACAGCATCATCCCTTCACTTTAACATCAATTAGAAAAAAAGATCTCCCAACACTTTTTAAGATTGGAGTCACTCCTGTAGAATGATGAAATGCAAATGTTTTTCAGAAAGCACAGCAACTCAGCTTCTGACAGGTAAGGGTTTTTAGTTAGGTAACAAAGAAAGATCGACCTAACTGGGAATTCCAGTCAGCTACTGCACAGTCAGACAGGTCGGATTCTGCCAAGACAGATATCCACAGGCAAATTCTACTGCAAATAGTCAGTCCTGAGCTAAAACTGAATATCCACCTATAAAAGGCAACATGTGCTTCAGCACCATGAGGGAGAAGTTACTTTGTGTGACATCTAGCAGCATTTCAGTTTTCCATATGCATGTTTTGCTAGAGTACCATTCAAACTTTTCTAAGACCACAAAAGAACTAGAATAGGATACTCACCATCCACTGGTCATGGGACAATGCAAATGCTAAATATCCTTCACTCGGGCCACTCATTTCAATAAATACTGAGCTCTTCTCTTGGTGGAAGGACAGAAAAAAACAGGAAGCACCTTCAGGATCACAGTTGGAAGGGTTCCTAATGCAGAACTTCGTGCTTCCACAACCTGATGCATTAAACTAGACAAGCAAACAGAGAAGCTATAAGCAACAACAGTTTCACTCTTCTTCCTTCCCTTCTACCCTGTTCTAGAAGACAATATACAAGGAACAGCAAAGAAACAGTGTCTATGTCTACATACCAATCTCTTAACCCATCGCTACAATTACCCCAGGACTAGTAGGTAAAATGGTGGCAAGTTACAAGCTGCATTTTTACTCAAGTTGAATTTCCACTTTAAAGACAATATAATAGAATAACTTTGAGAAGAAAGTAAAAACTTTGGAGAAACTTCCTGTGGTTTAATTTTTAGAGAGGTAGCATCAGCTGTAGGATAAGGGAGAAATGAAGGGAAGATCAGCTTTTAAAGTAGCAACTCCACTGATAGGGAATGAGAAAAAACTTGGGTTACTTAGTACACTTCTTCTGGATCAAATAGTGATGCTTGCTCAATCCATTCAGAATCAGTAATGGAAGTCAGTAACACAGATGAACTCATAGAAGGAAGTTTCTGAGCCTACAGTCACTAAATGGGAAGTTATTAGTCCAGACAAAAGCAAGTCTTTTCCCCTCTCTCTTCCCAGGTATGCATAATATTTTCTGAATGTTCTATCAACTTTGACCCGTGTGTGGTGTGACAACATTTAACCCACACAAGTTCAGGCAACTTGACTAACACAGCAGGTCTTGGTCTCCAATATCTAAGTTACTTATCCGTCATCTCTCTCTTTCTGTCAATAGGCTGAATCAATGTGATTTCAATAAATTCCATGGACCACGAGCATGAAAGATAGCATTATTTAGGTTTATATTTACTTACTGGTTTTGATAGGTAGGAAACCGGGTGTGAAGCTGATACAGCCTCCGACGTCACATGCGAGAGTGTTGTTGGGGATGGTACATTAGGCTGAGAAATAATGGGACCGGGAATCTTCACCCAGAAAGTCTTGTATTTTTTCACAACTGTGGCTCTTAAAAAACATCACACAGAATCATTACTGTATTACATCAACAGCTGACCATTACTTTCAAAAAAGGAAAGGTTTGTTCAACTTATTTGTAAAACACCCATCTTTATGCAGAGCTCTACCACTTCAGGGATTAAAGTAGGAAAACATCTGAAATTGCAGTGGAAAAATAATTTTGAAACATACTACTGGATGCTCTACTGGATATAAGAAACATTCATATCTGTGGCACAGATTACAGCCTCAGAAAAGAGTTGCATATATTTTATCCACTAGTTCCCCAAAAGCTAGCAGTGTAGCAGGACAGCATATATACCATTTTGTTAGGTACAAGCACAGAAAGAGATTCTTAACACTGCGTATTACAGGCATGAGAAGTCAGCAGTTCACCAGAAATTTTAATAAACTGGAACTAATACTAGATTTACTTACAGAAACTGTACACGTTTTGGTGCATCTCCAGGAGCAATCCAATAAACTTTTATGTGTTTCTTTTTTGTTTTACTTGTGTGACTCACAGCTGAGTTCTGAAAACACACACACATCAAGAGTTACACAGTGGATAAACACCAAGGAGACTTCAGTTAACGCAGTCATCACCGGCTGCAGCTAAATCCTAAAGAGACACCACACTGTTACACTGCACAGACCTAATCCAACCGGCTTGTCCCCAGTTATGATCAACTCACTTGAAGTGAACCACTGAAACTTAGACATACAAACAAACTTTAAGGCTAAAAGGAACAACTATAGGGCTTTCATCCAGAAGACTCCAGTGATGAGACAGAGGTTCCTGCAGCATTAATGCAGAAATGGTGTGATAATGCTCCGTTTTTTGATAGTATGAGCATGAAGGGACAGTGCAATGACTGCATGGAGAGAACAGAACTAGTATTTCAGAGGATAACACCCAAAAGCAGTCTTGGGGTCAGAGAGTTATTTGCACAAGATAAATAGATCAGACACAGCATTGAACTAAGTCCTCAGAGCACAAAGGGCACAGCCCAGACATCCCTATGGCTATACAGCACTGATGAATGCATTAATTGGACACCACTGAGATAGGGGCGGGGAGGTGCGAGAAGCAGAGAGGGGAAAAAGCCAACAAATACCCCCCCACACCCCAAAAACCTCCATCTAGGCAGACTGAGAACTTTGTCCACACCAGCTCAGATGACACCGTATATGTTCATAAAGTTCAAGCAGGTTGCTGAAGCACTAGTCAGAGTTCACATCTGTTGCACAAGGCAGAACTAATTTATCAAAAACGGATATTGAAGATTGTGATCTAACCTCTTACTAAGAAGGCTCCATTAGCAGTAACTGACAGAGCAACACCAAAGATAATAGCCTATTGTAGTTTGTTTTCGAGAACAAGTGATCTAAACTTTCTTTACTGTAAAACATTTCCTCTGTCCTTAACTGGTAACTCTCCAATACAAATAGAGGATGCCCTCCTCTTTTTAACATTAAGTACAATAAGCAGGAATACATTACATTCTTTGTGGACAAGTAAAGTCATGTTATTGAATGCTGCATCTCCCTGCAGCAGTCAATAGCTGTCTACCACCAGACTAGTCTAAATGGCTCATAAGAATCATCTGAAAGAGTTGCAGTGAGCCATGCCTCTATACTGCAAATTAGACTATTTCCTGAGAGATTTACTGAGCTCAAAGAAGATTACATAGTTTAGCTCTGTCCTATTACAGTCTAGTACAAACACTTCAGTACCTGTTGTCTCATTATAAGAAACTAGACTATACCTTGGTATGGCCACATGTGAGAAGCTGAGAAAGTCTCCGGTCAACTAACACGAAAGAACCAACTGCAGGGCTATCCAGGCGTTCTGCATCCCGGGCTTGTAATAAAAATCCTTCAAAATCAGGTCCAAACAGATGAACTGAAGCAAGAAGGAAAATAAAAGGAATTTGAAATATTCTCCAGAGGAAGAATGAAATATTTTTACAGTGATGACCAGAAGCTCATTTTACAAGTACCAAACGACTGCTTAAGGGATCACCTGAACAAGGTTCAGCTGCTCAGACAGATCTAGTAGAGCTAAGTAAAAACATGGTACAACACAAAGAAAAAAATTAAACTCTTCAGCTATTAGTGACACAGTACCTTCTATGTTGTCCCCCGGTTTAAATTCAGTCGCGTTCACTGTAATGGTGTGCTCAGGTGACAGTTGTGGAGAGCTACCATGACAGGGTATCATGCTAGTGCAGGCTTCTCTTACTTTTCCACTGGGATAGCCATCCACGGATGCATAGAAGCAAATAAACATCCAAACAGCAAAAGCAAGGCTAGGCACCTCCATCTATATAAAATAAAAGTTACCGGCAATTAAATACAATAAATATTTATATTACAGGTTACTCATCTTTAGAAGAGTCAGTTAATACCAAAACTTAAACCATGAATGAGAAGACACCATTCATCTGCAGAAGCTAAGAGTAATGTACGCTTCTGACAACTGCTAGACTTTGCAAGAATGTTCACAGATATCATGTTTCAGACTACCAAGAGTAGAGACAGCAGATGGATCCTTCATTCCACTGGGTGGATTATTTCTCTCAGTGCATTTTGACATCACTTTTTAAATTTCTTTTGCTTAAGCCTCTCCCATTCTCTCTCTCAAAAAAAAAAAAACCCCAACAAAAAACCCCAAAAAACCCACACAAGTCCCTTAAACATCTGCACAGGACAGATGGATCTTAAACACAGTTTCATTGGTTTATAAAGGTACACGGTACTGAGGAACTACACAACTAGCATTGAGCCCACTCTTCCATTAGTCATAGCTCCAAGTTGTGCATCATTACAGCCTGCCTTTTGTTTCCACAACTCGTGTCTATTTCTTCCCATATGACGAATAATTTCCAGGTAACAAGGTCTTCTTTCTGCAGGGAAACTAAAGTTGCCAAATGTCAGAAATAGATTTTATGTATGTAAAAGAGTGGGAAGTTAGTATCAAGATCTAGACAAATAAAATATGTTTGTTGCAGACAAGCATAAGACTTTTCTTTTTAACTCTTCCTTTTGGACATTGGCCTGCCAGTCAGTCAGGGAAACAGTATCACAGCTTGTCACACTCTTGTTAAGGGAGCAGTATACATGAAAAACATGTGCCTTAGTAGGACTGAAGAGCCTGAAACAGCTATATGAACCCCTAGTCCCAGCATTCATCATACACTGTTTTGCTCTATCACAATACTGTTTTCAGAAAAGCTGTGGTAATTGTTTTGTTACTCAGCAGCAAGCAGGCTTTACAGTTGTGTGGTTGTTCACAGAAAGCCTTAGCCAACAAGAAAAGCATTTGCACGTCCAAAAGGCCAGGAGAAGAGAGATAAACTTCCCTTTCAATCCTTAGACCCACAATGTGGGTTATCAGCTCGAGTGGAACATACAGGAGGCAAGTAGGTCTGCCTTCTGGAAGAGACATGCCCATTTTGCATGAAGTGATAAGAAATATCAGGGTATGAAGTTCCCTGACAGCAGGCATGGATGTGAAGATAAGGAAGGCAGAGAGGCATTTCACACTGCACTCTGATTCCTAAAAAGCAGTCAAATGAAGACAAGGCACATACATCAGTCTTACACACTCTGGCACCAATATTAAGTAATCCAAAGTTCTCATACATTGAGTGCTAGAACTCCACAATATGCAGGACAATGCTAGATTCGCACTTCAACAGAAGAGCTCCTCTGCAACTTCAGACCAGTAAACAGAAGAAAATCAGAGGGCAGAGGGGGTTAAACCGTTACATTTCAGGAACTAGAAAAAAAACCAACACTCAACTCCTCCTCACAAATATTCAAGATAACATTATGATAATATCTTTTACTTCTAGTTAAAATAAGCCTTTCCTTCTAGTTCCAGTACTTCTCCAAGATGTCACACATCTAAACATGATTTTATTCATAAGTTAAGGAAGCCTACAGAAAGCTAAAAACTAAGGTTCAGTATAACGGTGGCATTAAAGTAGCTTTTATATGTATCAGTGAAGTCTTCAAAACAAGTTGCTGCCAGAAGAGATAAGGCTGCATACCGCAGAGACAAGAAAAAGAGTAGGTTAGTAGTCTAGTTGAAGCAGTAGAGGATGTGGTAGGGATTTAAAATGAAACAAGAAATATTTTTTGGCAGACTCAACTGACTCAAAAGCTAACAGAAGAGAAAGAAGCAACAGCAGATTAAAAGAATGAAAAAGGCCAAAATCTGAAAGAAGTTTTGTACTAAAGAGCACCTTTTTAAAAAAGCGTTGTTTTTTTTTTTTTTTAAATAGGGTTAACTGTAGTAAAAGTGGTCTTCTATATGCACATTCAAGATCTGTTCAAAAAAAGCCTCATAGCAACCATAATGAGCAAGAAAGACAAGGACACAAAATCTGAATACACAGGAAGGAAGAGGGAAAATCCAAGAGATTCCCAGAACTTCCTCATATAAGCAGGTTAAGATGTCTCCTTTAGCTCCAAAAAAAAAAGTATCTGTTACAAGAACACAAAAGAGTGCGTCATACCCTCATGAATATGACAGTCTGGTCAAGAGTAGGAAAAAGTGAGTTAGCCTGACCATATTTTATTAGTACTCCAGAAAATGAACAATATTAAAAACATCCACCTAAAGACAATACCTAGATTCAGTGATATGCAATTCTGAGAAGGGACCAAAAAAAAAAAAAGTATCTTCATACTCATCTGAAGATTGATAAGCAATTATATCCATCCTCAACCAAATATTTGCACAACAGGTCATTTGTTTTGCTAAACAAAAAACTTAACCAATCAACAACAGTTATCCACCAGCAGGCTGACACCAACACAAAAGTCACTCCAATAGACAACAGATACCTCCTCTTCTGAAAAGTTACACGGTTTCCTCTTTTCTTTGACTAGAATTTACAGCCACAATAGTGTTATTTCCCTTCAAGCAATGTTGTCAGGAATGACTGCATTTTTAGACATTTAGCATGTCATATATACCACAACGCAGAATAGTTATTTAGAATTAGAGCTAGCTTTAAAAGTTTAACTAATCACACACAGAGAGACAGGTTCACTTATTACATTTTGTCATAAGGGAAGTACATTAAACTGTGGAATACATGACTTTTTTCTGATAGTCCTCTTTGCAAGAAAAAGAGAGGAAGACAAGTAAATCTCCCAACTGTATACAAAAGTAAAATCCCAAACAAAAAGTGTTAGGATTAATGGCATGCAAAGGATGCCATTAACAGAGAGGTTATGTTCAGGAAAGCTGAAGTGTGATGTGTGAATCATGCTTAACCTCACCACAAAAGAATAAATGTCTTTTAAAGAATAGAGTAAAAATAAAAACAGTTTTCCACCTTATCAAGAAGGATCCAAGAGACTGATCAAAGCTATCACATTTTACAGGGCTGTCACTCACTCCACTATTCTACTCCTCCCAAAAACATGGCTGAATTAAAAAAACACAGTTAATTTGTGTTCCAGTAAAGATGAATCAGCAAATCTCTTCAAGATCATCTTTTCTAGATAAGATCAACATAACTGCGTCAAAACCTTAAATCACCAAGTGTTGCCACTCAAGCCAGATTCAAAATGAGAAGCAATGATAACTCAAGTTTTGAGGTAAGCAAGCTGTGGAAAAGCCTGCTATTACCTATAGCATTTGAAAATGGTCTCAGTTTCCACTATAACTTATTAGAAATCGTAGATTTATCTTCCTTGATAGATTTTACTTTGAAACTGCAATAAGCAGCCTTGGCCATAGTGGCTTATTAGTAACCCTTTGAAACACAACTCATTGATGACAGCCTACAAACTAGCAGACAAGTTCCCTGTAGTGAAAGGGAATAAGAATAATTGACTTCAGAACTGAAGCATAATTATGTTGTTGTTGTTTTTTTTAAAAAGCAAGCTAATTCTTGTAGCATTTTTCAACTGGCAATTCTCCAGTGTTTTTATTTACTATCATTTGAACAGCTCAGAAAAACAAGGAGTTCATGGATTTCTGCACTATCCAGTGACTTATTTTTCAAGATAAACACATCACATTGAAATGCTTGCATTAATCAAGGGTCTGAAAATATATATAATCTCCTTCCTCCATCCTGCCTGCATGCCAGGTACACACCATGCAGTAGCATGCATCAGTAAATGCCCTGGTCAACATTGCAAGGATGTGATGCAGAGCATATTAGCTCCTTAGAACACAATCACATAGGACTGATTATTTTCCTTAGTCTTGTACTATGCATAGGCTTTTCAGTATGTTAAATATGAACATAGAAAGCATAAGATCCAGGAATCCTTTCTCTACAAACAGGTTAGACACTAGCACATACTACATCATTACAGTATGACAGTTATTCAAACCATTATGTTTTATACCTTTATTTAGAATGGAAAAATACTTCAACACTCATTAATTTGAAGCATGACTGCAAATTTATTATGCCATCCCTCACATTCCTTACTTAAATCTTCAGCATAATACATAACTCACACCCCCTGGCAGGAAAGAAAGCTTCAGAACAAGTTTATTCAAAGAAACTTCATCATTACCTGCAATTCCAATAGTGTTTCAAATATCGTGTAACCCTTGGGCACAGGGGGGCCAGGAGAGAATTGTGTACTTGAAGCCATTAATAACACAGCCCTCTAATTAACAGAAAGCCAAAAAAATACAGAGTGATAGTCATCTTCTCATCAACCTTGCCAAACTTGGGCAAAATGCTTTAGAAAGAAGCTAAGCTTTTCCAAGGAAACTGAGTAATCAGAACATCCATTAATGTTTATTTCATGTGGATCTTCATTATAACTGTAAAATTCAATTTCATGCAGAGATTACTCAATACTGACAGCTGACTTCTAAAGTCATCTGAGTAGTCAGTCAAGCATTTCTTGAGCCATACTACCAAGTTATTTTATATATTTGTTGGGCAGGTCAGAACTCAAGACAGAAATAGAGCTTTTTTGTTAGAGCACCCTTTTTGGGGAACTCACAGTGCATACCACCGACGAGAAATTTGGAGAAAAGTCATGTAGAAAAAAAATCAGAACAGGGATCCCAAATAACACACGGCCACTTATTCCAATAGGAGTGGGATGCAGAACACTTATTTTAAATAAGAGAAAGCCAAAAAACCTGACAACCTACAACAGATATTCCTGGAAAAGTGAACTAGAAACAACCATTTCAGTTATTATGAATGGAGATGAAGTAGCTACAATTCTTCATACTTATGATAGATCATGACAAGACAAGAACACCTCTGTGATAATTCATACATTAACAGTTAAAGGCCAGAGTAATTATCTGTGGCTTAACCTCAAGAGATTGCCTGGTAAAGCAGATACAGGGCTGCTCATAATAATTGCTACCAGCTTCCGTAAAGTTTCAAAGTGATACAACTACACTTGTCTGAACAGTTGGAATTTATCATCCCATTCATTCAGGAGTCATCTCCTCCTAAAGAAGGAGGAAAGAATAAGAGATGGTTGGGAAAAAAAAAATGAGTGCTATAATTTTGGGAACAGAATCCTTAAAAGCCTGAACCAACCAAGCTACTCCCCTTCTGTGTTGAAAAAACTCCTACAGTACCCTGGTAGCCTAATTCCTCAAAAGCACAATTTTCACACACAAACTCAGGATATCTTCACAGAAATTATCTTTTCAGCTATTTAACAGAATTATATTAGCTGCAGAGTAAGAGGTCTAAAACTGGTTTCAGAAAGGAAGAGGAGACGAGAGGAGGGGCAACGCAAGCTTCTTGCCCATTCAAAGGCACAAAAACTATCAGCCAGAACTTTTCTCCTGAGGACCATCAGACAAGAGGGCAAGCAGAAAATTAAAAAGCTGTCCAAAGCTTTTTAATAGAAGCTGTATCAACAGGTGTTAATGCCATATGCCTTCAGAAATATACTTTTACAAAGCAGAAGTGAACAGCCTTGCTGGACAAGAGTCACATTCCCTCCGAGTTTAGAAGAAGAGCTTGGGATAACTTTCTTGCTCATTTAAATGTGGCCATATCACAATAGTTGGATTGAGCAAGGGCAGAAAACAAGTAGTGTTCACATTCACTGTAACTCATCACTTTTAAATACAAACACACACCCCACATCCACAATATGACAAAACATACCTCAAGCTCTTGGTCTTTACTCAGCAAACATCCAAAGACAACTTCAAGGCTTTTGTGCCTCAAAACTAGTTTTTATAACCGTTTAACTACTTACCTTACAGCCAGTTAGTACTGTAACAGTGTTACTATGACTAAGTCTGAGTAAAATTGCCATTGCCTTTCTACTTATAGTAAGACAATTTCTATTATATCGTAACCTCTTCTGTTTGCCCTACATCTAACAGTATTAACCTTTATCATACCCAGGATCAGAGGAAGTTTGTCTGAAAGAAGAAACAGTACACACGCACTAAAGGAAATATTTATAAGAGGAGTCTTTACTTCAGGCACACGTTTCACGCTGCTTCCCAAACTAAGCCCATAAGACCCTACACTCCAGCTGAAGTGCATGAAGTCGTAACGAAGCACTAACCCTGCAGCTTCCTTTGCTCCCTTAGACATGCACTTCCACAGGCCTCAGAGTTTCATGTTAACTAATTACTTAATTATCTTCTGGTGCAGTTGCAGGGTGGGGGGGGAGCAGGTGGGTGAGGGACCACAATGCACAACCCCAAACCAAACAAACCACATTCATACATTCTTCCTCAAAGCACAAGTTGGTACAAAGTTGCAGCATGATTTTAAAGCATTTACTCCCTTTAAAAGATACATTTTCTTTTAGAAGAGGGATAAGGAATCTTAAAAAGAAATATGATACTTTTGGGTTTTTTTCCATATATCCCACCAAGAACGAACAAGAGGCAGGGATTTTGCCCTGTTCAGTTGTTTACTTTTATTATTTAACTTTCTGTTGGGCAGCTGCTCTGCATATAATCTTTAAGGCCCCAACCTTGCCAACTTCTATCTATATGAAGAACCCAAATTTGCAAGCTGACCTAAAACCAACATAGTTTGTTACCTCAACAAATCCAGCTACAGATCAGCACGTTTACTCTAAGTTACCATACAGCCATCTCCTCCATTAATGAAGAAAAAAAATAAGAAAGTAATATTCACATAACATTAAGAAGCAAATAAGAGATAAGAGGAACATAACTGGTGTGGCTCCCAGATAATGAGCAAAGGTAAACTATGGCTTATTTTAAGGCAGACAGGCTTAAGAGTTCTCCCTACAGTAATTCAGAAACGCTTGGATGCAAAGCAGCAGCTACAAGGCGCTTCATCAGATTCTAGCTGGCTTCATAGCTGCTGTGGGTGCTCCATCAAGCACCTTAGGTTTCCAGCAGGCTGGCGGTACCCACGCTTTGAGGACTCTCTGGGGTCGGTGTCACCGGAGCGCTCTGGAGCTACAGCGGCTCCTCCGGGGCGGCCCCGCTCGCCGCCGGTCCCACGCCGTCTCTCCTCCCCGGCACGGCTCCCGCACAGAAGGGCAGCGGGGAAGCGGCGAGCGGGGGCCAGCCCGCCCCTTTCCCCTGCTCGGTCCTCTCTCCGACCCAGCGGCGGCTTTTCCGGCGGCGGGGGGCGGCCCCGGTAGGGCGTCCCGCCGGGCGCCGGCCGAGGAGGCGCGGGAGAAAGGCGGGGCCCCGAGGCGGCGGGGGGCCGGGAGCGGGGCCGTGGTGCCCGGGGAGGCGCTCCGTGCCCTCGGCTCCGTGGCTGCCCAGCCCGAACCCCCAGAAGAGCCTGTGAAACACCTGAAGGGCAGGTCATTCCTTGGCGGTCTCCAGGCGCTGGAGGTACCGACGAAGGCCCCGGCTGTGCGTTGGAGTCTTGCCCCGTGGGCTCTGCGGGGACACCGTCCTTGTAAAGGCTTGCAGAGGTCACCCGCGGTGCTGCTCCCGTGCCTGAGCGTGTTCACCGACACCGGCTTGCAAAATCAGATTCTTCTTATCAAGAAAGCAAATAAGTACCGGCTGTAACCGGGGGTTTGCTGGTAGAACCTGCAGTTACTTACACAGGCTTCTTTGAGCAATTTCTTTTTTTACTGGGTTTTATTCCAAGTCATCAGTTGCTCACAAATCAAAGCACTACAAAAAGACAATCATCTAGTAAAAATCCAATGAGAACTCTACCCTCCCCCAGAACCGAAATATTGTGTTTGTGTTAACAAACACCTTCACCAGAGGGGCCTGGAAATTGAGTTGCTTATTAGTAGATCTGAGCAGTTCTACTGATCTCAATAATCAGCCATAAGTACATAAGAAGTTTCATAAGAAGTACTGTCTACTAAATACAGACTTACAAATGCTCTGCTCGTGTTCTACTGTTTTCTCGGTTTCTATAAAAGCAGCATTAACCTTAGAGGTATTCTGTAATAGCATATTATAAGATACATTTAACGCGAAAAACAACAAACTACTTTGCCTAATCAAACGCTTTGGCTGTTGCACTTGTATCATCTTGCTCATGGAAGGCTCTGGGAAGGTGAGACCTCACGAAGTGCACAGCAGCTGAAGAAACGTAACACATAATGGATATTTCTCCCAGCTGAGCAAAAAAACCCCATACAGTTTATAGCAGGCATTCATAAAATCCCCAAAATATGAAATTAATGAAATTGTAAACTCAAGTACATACATGCATTATTAAGTGCGTGTCTGTTTCTAACTAATGCTGATTAAAAACAACCTTTCTTGCAGCTACATTATTAGTATGACAAATACTAACATAAATACATTTACAATATAAAAACTCTGGTAATCACAGTGACAACTCTGTCATTGTCATATTCTTGACAATATTTACATTCATAACTTACACAGATTACAGTAGGAATTAATATACAATTTTTTTTTTTTATCTTATTTTAGGGTCTTGGGCCGCTGACAGAATGAGATTATACTTCTGGAAAATTGTTATAAATATAAGAATAAATGGAAGTAATTTCCTCATGCAGACTCACAAAGGGATGAAAACACAAGCTACAATCCTGTTGGAAACTGTAATCAGAGTTTAAGAAAATAAAGTCACTTATCTGTGAAAGGTAAAGTGGGTAAGGGAGGGAATACTGTTTTGCTTCTCATAGCTTCTTTTATTTCAGAAGGTGTTAGCTATTGCCAAAGAGCTATAAAGCAAGAAAACCAGGAAAAAACCCAAGAGAACAAGGAAGAAACAATTACTCTTTAACTACTGAGTACAAGCACCCATACTCCCTCTGCACAGGCAATCATCAATCTGTCTGGAAGGACCCTTTTCAAACATACTAGTCTCCTTTAAAAAAAAAAAAAAAAGTCAACAGTTCTGCAACCTTAATAAAAATATTTCCATGAGAGAGTACTGCATGCTGAGTTGTTAAATGTCAATATCCAAGCTGAATCAAGGAAATAAAATGCATTTGGATATATGAACAATAAAAAGCCCACAAATGCATCTTTTCTGTAAAGTGTACTGAAATTATAGTTCTGTTGGCGTGTTCATAATAATTCTGTATTTATTACAAAGCAGAAGTTTCTAGCTTAACCAAACGATCCATTTGAGACACAAGAGGGCTGGGGGTTGGGTTTTAATCTTACTGCAAGCCTGAAGAGAGATAGTCATGTAATCTACTATTGAACTTTGTCAGAGGATGATGATGTCAAGTGGCAAATGAACAACATAACATCTAACATGAAAAGAAGCCGACATCTTTTCTTGTATAGTTTGTTACAGGACCTCGAGGAAGTAAGTGAAAGCTTATAGTTTTGAAAGAAACAGCGATTTCATAAAGGAGACTGCATGTTGAGCAGATAAAGGGGAATTTCTGTTGCTTAAGAACTGAGGGAGCAATTAAGTAAAATACATATAATTTTGCAAATTAAATATTGTGCAGTCCAAGGCATATACTGATAGCTATGCTAGTTTTTAAGCTCTAAGTACCATGGAGAACAATAAGCCATTGAAGCTGGGTCTGAAGAGAACCCGTGTTCTTATATGGTTCCTTGTAATCAATTTTCCTCTTAGGTATTGAGCTAATTATATATAAAGGGCAACCCTTGCTCAAGTTTCATATATGTGTGCACTAGGCAAGTGGTTTCTCTATGTTACTGGCAAGAGGATCACAGTAAAACATTGCTTGACTTCAAGTGATGTGGAAAAGGCTGCATCCCTATCAGACTGTTTTGATGTTGAATAACTTGGATCTAAGAAGTTTTTGTTACTACTGTTTTCTATTTTGATACATTGACATGTGTTTGAAAAAATGCATTTAGATTTGACTGAATACGTACAGGAGACTGGTCTTCTATGAAGAAAAGAGGCCTGACACCTGTATTTATTCATCGCCCTTCTGCGTATCCTACACTTACAAGTCTAGACTTCAGCTTTTTTCAAGCTTTTCAGCATTATCATCTTAGCTAAATATGTATTAGGGAAATGATAACAATAATAATATCTTAGATAGGAAGAATTTTTCCTACCAAACAATAGGCATGTGCTTTTTTTTTCCCCCAAAGAGAGGGGAGTTTTGAGTCATTGAAACAATCCCGACCATCTAAAAGGAAATAAATGATGATAAAAGTCACAATGTAGGATGATGTATTTTTCTCCATAATTAATTATCTTCCCTTGAACTTTGGCACTATCTGTTTCACCAGCTGACTTACTGTTAACCTACAAACTAGATAAACGTATCCCACCGACCTCCAGAAATATGCTTTTTATGTATGCTTCTCTTTGGTCTTTATTCCTCTCTACTAATCAGCCCTTTCTACTTTCACTATTTTATTTTTTTTATGTCACACATAAAAATTCTCACTTGCAAAAGTATTTATACAAAAATACCTGTTTGCCTAGAGGAAAGAGCAAAATGCATTTTACGGCTTTCAGTGAATTACAGTAACAGCCACTTGGTGGCATTAGCGACTAAGTAAAATAAGGTTTTTCCACTCGGCTACACAGAAACCTACTTTCTTTTTGTATCTCTTAATTCCGACGCATCAACAGCTGAAGTACGCACACAATAGCTTTCTACCAAAATGTGCATCGACTTTGATTACAGATAATTTTTTTTCAAAAAAATACTTCCTTGTTTATCTGAAATGAAAGACTTAAGTTTGGTTCCCTGGTACCAATTTGAGGCAGGTCTGTACAGGTGCTATGATACAATGAGAACCTGACACTTTTCTGAAAGAATCTCCACTTAATTCAGTGCACAATTCAACCAATGGATAAAGGACTGCAGTAAAATCATTTTACCCGCTTCAAGAGATGTGGGTCATCTTTTGATCTGATCCACACTATTGAAGTTTTATCTGATAAAAGTACTGAATTATTAACTTTATTGAGTTTTCTATATTTTTCACCGTTTCTGTGATGCTTTTTTAAATTATTAATTTTTTAATTTCAGCAAGATGTGATGAGATCCTATTATTCCATTTCATGGGAAGCAAAGAGCTTGCTGGCAAAAGTATTGACCTGTAAGTGCTTCCGTTTAAGGCACTTTAGAGCTGATTACACAATTTGTAATGTGAAACTACAAGATTAATTGACATCTAGTACAATGCCTTTCCGCACACTGATCAGTTTCTTTGCCGGTCAATCTCAATTCTACCTCTGCCCCACAGCTTTTTTCCTCTTTCCTCTCATTTGGGCTGGGAACTAATTTTCCCACTCCTTTTCACCTCATTTCAGACGTCCTTTCACAGACAAACCATTTCCAGCTTTTCACCTTTTCCTCAGCAGCTCTCAATTTGTCTTCTTCGTGGCTTAGAAACGCATTCTTTGCTCAGACCTGGTCTGTCTGTGGGTTTTGTGGTCTCTCTGAGTCCAAGCACAAGCAATCATTCTGTAGGGATGACGCATGATGGGCAGTGCTGTTAATTGCAGCAACATGCTAGTCAGTACATGCCCAGTGGCCCTGGGGGGGAACCTGAGCTGAGGTTTGAGTGTGCTCGGTAGGAATGTTTGCAGGGATTTTAGCTCTTACTTTCGCAAGTCTCAGCCAAATGCTTGCAGAGATTTTCAAAAGCTTATAAACTGCTCAGGCTATAACAGAGGGGCTAAAAGGCATATCCAACGTAGGAGAAGAGTGAGAAGATTGTTTCCTACTAGCTTTCAAGCCCCGTAAGCAGCAGTGCTCACTTGATGAGCACAGGGGAATACCCAGCGAGGGGTAAAGTGGCCCAGCCCAGAGATGCTATGGAGAGCCACCTCCTGCAGAGCCAGGTCAGTATGTAGTCTCTGTGCAAGCTGGTACCTCCAAGGATGTTCCTAACTTTTGGGGAGTCTGCTGCACAGCACGTGCTGTGACCCAACAAATATGTCACTGACGCACTCAGAGGCAAAATATTGATACTGCACTACTGTACAAGGCAGTGATTCCTCCACCAACAAGAATCTAGCTGGAATGGAGAGCCAGTGGTTTGCACAGAGCTAAGACATTTTAAAAAGCTGGGCAGCAGCAGCAGTTTGCCCCAACATGCAGCAATAATTCCTAGCTCCTGTGAGTTCACATAGGCAAACAAACCACTTCAGATCAGCAACCCTAAGCTGAAGCTCATGCCTAACCAAAAGATCTGACAATATCAATGTGACAAACATTAAGTAAGGACTTTGAATTTCTGGTGGCAGCATTTGGCAATGGTTCAACTGTAAATGTTGAATTAGGTGCACTGATTGCTATCTAGCAAAAGAAGATGTGTCGATCTGAATTTTAGCTTTGTAGCATTCTAGTGCAAACCACTCTTGCATCACCTTCCCTGCTCTACCTGCTCAGGTTTAACTAAGTGGTAGAATGCAAAAGCTGCTTGAAAAGATGCCTGGAACTGGAAGTGATTTGGCAATGAGAAATTAGGAATTCCTTTTAAGCCTGAAGATGAGGGAGAGACGAAAATCATCTTTTAAAACAAATGTTTGCTGTAGTCATACATTTGGTAAAATATTCTTCTTCTCTGTGGTAGACTTGGCTACATAATTACTATGGCTTGAACTCTGTCTGCACTGAAAGATTACAAAACCAGCCCACAGACCTTAATATTAGCTTTCAAATAATATCAGATTATGTGGGGTTGGTAGCAGTTATTTCTTTGCTTAAAAATTAGATGCCAATTTTATAAAATAAATAAATCTAATCAATTGTTTACCATTTGGGCTTAAAGAGCTGTCTAGATAAGATCTAAGGATTATTATTTTAATGGGCCAGGAAAATATCCATGGTATTCTCACTATAGTTTAATACAGTAGGAAGGAGCATCATAAAGAAAATGGAGTGTGCAGAGACACTCTTTAAATATTTATTTTTGAGGATGAGATATGAAACTGAAAGAGCAGATCTGCTTTATAAAAGTAGATCAGATTACTGCAGTTCCTACAGAACCAATACTCTGAAGTCTTAAATCTCAGCATATCTCACTAGTGTTAAATGGAACAATTTGCAGGAAAAGTGCTGGTGTTCTATGCTAGTGATTCAGCACACTGGTGTAATACGTTCTGTTTGTAAAACAAAAATTGCCCCAGTACATGTGAATTTATTTTACTCTTAACTAAGTTAAATGGTACAAGAAAACCATTCAGACACTTAGTTTAAAATTTTGTTTGCCAAGTCACCCCATTTACGGAAGATTATTAATAACAAGTTAATGTGATGTTGTTAGCTAATGCACAGTCAAACGTATCCTAACCAATGCTGTGAAAAGCTACATTTAACTATAATCAATTTTATTTGGACTTCTTTAAAGATAAATGCATTGAATTCTACAATTTTCTATTAAAAATTAATAGCAGTCTAACTTGATACAGAAGTTAAAGCAGAGAGCATTGATTGTTTCAGGCCACACAGTAAAAGAATTGCCAAGCTGGGATCAAAAACAAACCAAAACTGCTTCTGCAATCCAAAAATTCATGATGACACCAGGGTCATCTTTGAAATGTCAAACCGACGCTGCCAAGTAACTAGAGGAAAGGGCATTTACATGTTCAGTAAGAACAAACTGCATAGGCTACTGCCCTAGCCTCTCCATCTCACTTGATTTCTTACTTATATAGACATTGTTATTCCAGCCTACTATTTATTCCCTGCCTATCAGGCTATCGCCATCTGTTTAGCTATTTAGAAGGGATTTAAAAAAAAAATAGGCTACAGGTGATTACTTCAATATTCCAACCAATATTTTCTCTCAATACTAGATTCTAATGTCCAAGGCCATATGTAAATTTCTGCTGAGCACATAATGTGTCCAAGAATAGCACTTGTTTTCGGCCACTGTACAGCAAAGATCTCGCTTACACTCTAAACTAGAGCTTAATCAAAGTGCAGAGATACAGTTTTAAAGAAAATTAGCTTTCTTTCAAAATCAG